TTCCCTAATGTCACTTAGTCAGTGCTCAATAAATATTTGTTGAATTGTTGAATGGAAGACAATTATTTCTGAAGAACTTAATTCCTGAAGATTTTTAACGAAGAATAGTCTGTGCAAAGTTTTGAGATCAGAAGTAGCTTTGACTTTGAGAGATTGGAAATGGATTTTATGATAAATTATTATTTTATGACTAATATCTTGGCAGTTGATCTTCCCTTAGTTGTCTATTTTCACCCAAATGGGAAAACTCAGCAAGAGCAGCAGCCTTGACCCCTGGCCTTCCAGTGGGGTCTCCCACGAACAATGGACAGTTAGAAGCAGGCAAAACAGACATTTGCCGCTGATCTAAAAGACACCAATTCAGTGGAGAAGCTGTTGATCTCAAGTGTTAAACCTCAGCCATTGTTCACAATCTGGCACAGAATTAATCCCTTAAGAAAAGTATGAAAAAAATGCCATTCAGCACAACATAGTTTGTCATCGCATGCATAATGCAGACTTTCCAATTAGAACGCTATAATTTGGAAACTTTCTTCACAGACTGATGAGAGAGCAATTATTTTAAAAAAGGGAAAACTCAGTCCACTGGGTTTGCCTCAAGTCACTTCTGACTCAAGTCACAAAGACAAGAGTTTTGAAAACATATTCGCTATTGAATTTTGTATCAAAACACCAGCAAGGAGAGCAATTAGTTGCTGTAAACTGAACCCCAGTAATCAATGGTATGCAGCCAGCCAGAGCACTTATGGAAGATGTAAGCAAAATCACATCTGCTAATCAATTTAAAAAAGCCCAGCTCTTCACTGCTTTTCAGGGAAATTCCACAATGAGAATAAGGAAGATGGAGGAGACGGTATTTAATATCACCAGGCATTTCATGCAGTGCTCATTAGGTGGAGGGGTTTGTGGCCACAGCTAAACACAGATTTGAGCTGCATCAATAGATCTTGGCTTGCAGCTTCCTTTATTCAGCCCCTTTGAAAATGACTTCTGATGTGTGCGTGGGGGGATGTCGGGTATGTTTAAGGAGCTACTCCCAATTAACGTCAGAGGGAGTGTGTCTGTCCTGGGCCAGTTCACCGGGCAGACCTTTTCTGGCAGATTACAAATCGGAAATATTGCTGTGTTGTTGCAGGTGCAAAGACAGGGGAACAGGCTTTGCTGGCAGGGAAAGAAGTGAAGGGAATTGGTGGGCTTTACAGTTGTGCCTTATTAGAACAAAATTTCTCTCCGTGGGCAAAAAAGAGATTGAGCCAATTTTTCCTTTAGTGTCCTTAAGCTGTGCTTGCTTTTTTTTCAGTTGAATCAACAGAGGGGTTTTCATTCCTGGCTAAGCCTACATTCCAAGCAAATATGCATCCTAGAACATAAATTAGAATCCCTTTCATATAGAGAACAAACTAGTGGCTACCAGTGGGGGGGAAGGGGAGGGGGAGGGGCAATATAGGGGTAGAGGATTTAAAAAATGGCTATTATGGGATTATATGAAATCATGTGTGTGAAATTTTTGAAAATTGTAGAGCACTATAGAATTTGAAGAATCTTTCATTCAATTTAAAGAAAAGAATCTCTCTTAAAAACTCCTATGTGTAGGTGAGTCTGAGCCCTTGCTTGACAACCTGAGATCCATCAGTGTCCCTTTTCCACTCAGGAGTCACCCTGACCCCGCATTTCCAGCCCCCAAGGACTCTTAATAGAGGAATAAAGAGGAGATGTCTCAACTGGTATGTGCACTTGGCTGCTGTTCAGAAAAAAGAATTTAGGCCAGGAGAAATTATTGAGGTAAAGATTGATAGAGTAGGCTAATAAAAATTAGTATCTTCAGCATGCAAACTGTGATAGGCAGTGGATTAATATCCTTTAAATATAAAGGGCATCTTGTAAGTCATTAACAAAAGGATAAATATAAGTAGAAAATGGGTAAAATGTTCAAGTTCAATGATAAGTAAAAAACTACAAATTAAAATAATGAGAGATATTTCATCTATCAAATTGGCAGGATTTTTAAAGATAATATACAATATTGGTGATGACGCACAGAACAGGTGTTTTTATACACTGCTGGTAGTGTGAGTATAAACTGGTGCAGACTGTCGTTGCAGGTGAGGGGACAGGTGTGCAGCTGTTCTATAGTACATATCAAGGCCTCATAAGCCCTGCTCCAGGAGTTACGCTTCTAGCGACTTTCAAAGGCAATAACCATAGATTTAGCTTAAGAATGCTCATAACAGGGGTTTCATAGCAGTGCAATATTATCAACTACCTAAATGTCCAACAATAAGAGACTAAGTAAATTATGGGACATCCACACAGTGAAATTCTATGAAACCAGTACATATGATGAGGAAGAATATTTGATGATGCAAAAAAAAAGATATTCATAATAGGTCATTAAGCAAAGAAGCAATTTGCACCATGTGTATGTGTTTACAAAATTACTGGAATTACAAGCGATCTTCATTTTACCTTGAAAGAAATTGGAGGACTTTATAGAATAAGTTACTGTAACTTTTTCCATGAAACATTTTTCCATGAAAAATATTTTTCCATGAAATATTTGAAGATCTGGTTAGATTTTATCCCAAAAGGGACTGATTATTTTCATTTGGATACACTGGTAGAAGCACTAACTCATGATTATCCAGAATGATATGGATTATGATAAACCTGGCTCTCCATAAATAATCCAAAATTCCATTGGGAAACAGCCTCAACGTCATCTCCCAAAAAGCCTGTTACCAGGGCTGTTCAATAAAGAGAATGGTTAATTATTTTGAAGTTTTTTTTCATGGTTTTAATCTACTCTGGCAGAGTTATGAATGATTTCAGCCCAGAACATATATGGAACATATGCTATAAACAGAGCCCACATGTTTGGAGTAGAATTTTTTAAAAACAGAGAGATCGATGGTCTTTCTAAAAGGTTTATATTCATTCTCAGAGCCAAACATAGAAGCAAAAATTACATTTTTAAAAGTTACTAAGTATAAATTAATATAGGCTAACTGCATAAAAGTGCTGAGAGACTAGAGTAATATTTGAGGAAATGACTAATGAGGGAAATGATTCACTTTCTTATCACGCACACTGGTATAATCTAAAAGTAGAATTATTGGACACTAAAAACAATAGGGTGGATTCCTGTCTGATTGATTCAGAGTACTTTGAGAGATTAAATACTTAGGTGAGTTCAAGAGAATCAGTAGCATGTACAGTATTGCACATCTGTTTATGCTTTCCAAAACCTTTTAACTGTTTTCTCTACTTAAAAGATAAATTCTAACCTATTAAGTAGTGTGTACTATCATTGATAGCAAACAAAATTACAATTGAAAATAAGGAACTAAGGGGAAAGCGGAACACAGTGGCATTTCTAATCCTTAGTAATAGCTTTAGAGGTGACACTAAACTGAACTTGTGCAAAGGACTGTCATTGATTGTAATTGCAGGATGAAGGAGAAATAATACAAAGTACTTTTGTAGAGTGATGGGTTGTAGGTTGTAAACTATGACCCAGATACATCACCTGGGAGTAAAGGAAACATTTGACAGCAGCGTACAGAAAGGGGCTTTGGTCAGGACACCAGGTTGGAACCCTCACTGAGTTTAGATAAGCTACTTAACAGCTTTAAGCCTCACTTTCACCATATATAATTTGATGAGAATAATAATGCTTGCTAAGAGGACTTTTGGAAAGATTTAATAAGTTACGTAGAGCATTTAGCATAGGGCCTGGTACATGGTAAGCATTACAGAAATGTTGGCCATTATAATAATGATGATCATTGTTGTTATTGTTACAAATGATCTACTGATATTCGCTCAGCAAATATTCATTGAGTGTAGGCTCTGTGTGAGAGTCTGTGCCAAGTCCTGCGTGTGGAAAAACCAATAAGACATAGACACTGTCTTCAGGGAGCTCACTCTGTTCTAGCTGGTGGAGGAAACAAATGTGCATGCCCAACTGTAAAGCAATAAGATAGATATCTTGTATGGGAAGGACTTTTGAGGCTGAAATTATAGAAAACAATGATCTCTCACCACAGTGGCACTGTCAGAAGCAAAAGGCTGGACTGTGGTCTGCTCCCATATTATAATATTTAGATTCTTTTTTTATTCTATTTTTAAAATTCAGGAATGACACACATACAGTGCACACAAACCTTTTGTGAATAGCTTGATGAATATTTACACATGTATATACCCATGTAACTTCCACTAGATCAAAATTAGCCCATTTCCAGCATCCTAGAAGGTTCCCTCACCCTTTCCCAATCATTCCCTCCCCCAGAGGTAACTACCATTCTGACTCCTGTCACCATAGATAAATCTTGTCTCTTTTGAGCTTCAAGTAAATAAAATCGCATAGTCAATACTTTGGTTCCTATCTGAGCTGAAAAGGGGGATAAGAAGAACAGGACCAACATAATCAATTTCTAAGAAATAAAAAGTTTTACTGACGAATATATGTTTGCCTGTATCTCCCAATCAGGCAGTCTTACGAGAGCTATGCAGAAAGTCTGGTCAGAATGAGAAGGAACCTGAAACGTGTTTAAGGTCATTGGGGCATACTAGTAACTACCACTTAGAATACCAATTAGAAAGCACAGATTTCCCCATGAACAGTGGTCTCAAGGGTGTTACCTTTGTTCAGCCCAGCCAAAGAGATGAGAGCTGGAAGAATCAGGAAGGAGGATTTGGTGACATCTCCCTGATAAGCCAATCAGAAGATCTTTGCCACTTGGGGGACAGAGGCCGCCTGGGGTTGGGTGACTTGTGAAATAAATTTTTAAAGAAACAAGCCTCTCACTGCAGGCTGACTCCACCTTCTCCCAGCATGCTTTCGTTGGGGATTCACTTTCTTTCTTTAGTCCTGGAAGTGTGTGGGCAAAGAAGACAGGTTGGAAGGCTAGAGTAGACATAGATCCCCTCACGCACACAGCCTAAGGAAAGAGCCAGGTGGAGCATTCACAGCATTCTTATGTTTTCCTCCTGTTCAGGTTATTACTGTGGGACTGTGACGATCGGAGCTATAGCTACTACGTCGAGGTTTCCACTAACCAGCAGCAGTGGACCATGGTAGCTGACAGAACTAAAGTCACCTGCAAGTAAGTTACATCCTTCAGGAATTTATGCCACTTTAAAAAGACAGTCTTTCCACTGGATTCGGAAGGTTCCAATGAAGATTCATGGGGTCACCAAATTATATTCTTATTTGGAGGTTAAAACATTCTGATGATCCTTTACTTCAGTTTTGACTATTAAGTACTTGGATGAGAATTTACTTTATATGACCAAAGAAGCATTTCTTATTTTGTGATTTTAACTTAATTTTTAAAAATGGCATGTATCTAGGCAGGGAAAACAAAGATACTTTTCGCATTCAATCCTCTCTCAGGTCCTCCCCCCACATCCCATACTACCCCTTCGGGACTTTTTTCTTCCTTAGTGATTTTTGCTGATGCAATACACACTTTAGTAGTATTCTGAGACTCTCACCTATTCCCCACCCTCATATCATTCTCAGGGTTACCTTTAAATATTTATTTCATCTCCATGTTAGTTACACTGTTACCTAAACTAAGGAAAGTTTGTATCTTAGGTCTCCTGTGGGAAACAGAAACGTTTCATGCATATGGCATTGGGGCTCTGTTTGACCTTACCTGGTTATGGGTGAAGCCAGGCAGAAGGATTCTGAGTTCTGACCAGCTTAGAATCATGCTAAGAATGAATGTAACCGCCACTCAGATTGAAATTAGCACATCTGCAGCATCCTAGAAGGTTCCCTCATACCTTTTCCCAGTCATTGCCTGAAAAGAGCTCAGTGCCTTTTTGTGTAGAGCCAGATGCTGTGGGAGGCAAGATAAAGCAAATAGCTGAGATTTCTTTTTTTTATTTTAATTGAGATATGATTCCCATACCATAGAATTCACCCTTTTAAACTGTACAATTTAGTGGGTTTTAGTATGTTCAGAGTTGTGCCATCATCATGACTATCTACTGTTCTGAAACATTTTCACCACCCCAAAAAGAAACCTCCTGCCCATTAGCAGTCTCCCCATTTCCCTCCAGAGCCCACAGCCCCAGCACCCAGTAATCTGCTTTCTGTCACTATGGATTTAAGTATTCTGGACGTTTCATATAAATGGAATCATATAGTATATGATCTTTTGCTCCAGCCTCCTTTCACTTAGTATAATGTTTTCAGGGTTCATTCATGTTATAGCATGTATCAGTACTTCATCTCCTTTTTATGACTGAGTAGTATTCCATAACATAGGAATATATATAGCGCATTTTGTTTATCCATTTATCAGCTGATGAACATTTGAATTGTTTCTACTTTTTGGCTATTATGAGTATTGCTGCTATGAACGTTCCTGTACAAGTTTTTGTGGGAACATATGTTTTCAGTTCTCTTGTATATATACACCTATGAGTGGAATTGTTGGGTCTTATAGTAACTCTATGTTTAAGTTTTTGAGGAACTGCCAAACTTGTCCACAACAGCTGTACCATTTTGCATTCCTACCAGCAGCGTAACAAGGTTTCAATTTATCCACATTCTTGCCAGTACTTGTTATTGTCTATCTTTTTGTTCATAGCCATCCTAGTGGGAGTGAAGTAGCGTCTCATAGTGGTTTTGATTTGCATTTTCCTGATGGCTAATGATGTTGAACATCCTTTCAAGATTTCATAATAGCGTTGATGATGGCTTGTTTGATGCAATGTCTGACATCCTCACCATTATTATTATAGTAATTTTATAGCATGTTTGTATTGGTTAGGGTAACATTTGCTGCTGTAACAAATAGTGGCTTCAGTATGTCAGTGGCTTAACACAGTAGTGTACTTCTCAATCATAAGTATTCCTGGTTGTCAAGTGGCTCTTCACAGATGATTGAGGAACCCGGGTGTCTTCCTTCTTGTGGTTCTGCCATCATCTAGGGCCTCATCAGCATCATGTGCATCTAACTGATAGATGGGGAAAGAGCAGAGAGAAGGTAAACCTGGATCTGAACAGCCTTGGCCTGGGTATAGTAAACATCACTTCCACTTGCATTCCACTGGGGAGAACTAGTCAGTTGTCACACTAGATGCTAGTAGGACTAGGAAACGTAGTCAGCTCCTGGCTGGGCAGCCACTTCTCAGTGGATCGCAGATCTTGTAGCCATCTCTACCATACCAGAAGAAAACTAACAATTATCTACTAACTAGTATTCCTTTACCTGCATGTATTTTATCTTATTCTGTCCTGAATACAAAACACCTTCTTGTGTGGGATATTGTCCTCATTTTATAAAAGAGAGAATGAAGGGCTCTTTCTCTGGTACCACATTCCCTCCTAGAACCCAAAGCATTGCTAAACCAAGGTGGATGATGAAAACTGGGAAATGAAGTGATTCTCTTATTCCCAAGCTCCCAGAACCCTTTTTATGCACTAGGAAGGCCTTCAAGGCCCATGAACAACCACCCATTTAACTTTCCAGAGTCATTACTTATTGGGCATACAGCTCACAAACCAGACCCTCTCTTCCTCATCTTTTACACATCTCACTGATTACCATCACCCATCTCTTCTGTCATTTTATGAGTTATAAATTGGATTCCTCATCTCTTTTATGTCCCCCTGTTGAAGGTGTTATACAATTGGGTTTTCAACAAGAACTGGTTGACTAACTACTGACAATGTACGTATAATGATTTTATATTTATTTAAATGGGTTTTTCTTGATTCAAAAACCCATTCACTCATTAGATCCTCTCCCAGTAGCCTTGCATTAAGTCATCAGCATCTTTTTTTTTCTCTTTTTAATTTTTTGTTTCCATTAGTTGGTGGGTTTCAATAATGTAAGTGTTTTTAACCTTGTATGTTAGCACTTAGATACTATAGCAGTAAGTGTTTTACAAATTAATAAATAATATATTAGAAGAACAAGAGTAGTAGCAAGAAGGCAAGTGCCTATTAATCCTCTAGGAATCAATGGAGCCAAAGGTTATGATTTAATGTTTATAGACATAACCTGAATCTATTGTGCCTCCCATTTTTGAGTTAGTTCTTAGAAGTTGTATTGGTTGGCCAACAAGTTCGTTCGGGCTTTCCTGTAACATCTTACGGAAGATATGTAGATGATAAAAGAAGAAAGCCTTTCCTTTTGAACTAATGTACTCCAGAGCAGTCCTCAAGAGAGGATCCTATTAGCTTCAAGTATTGTAGCCTGTTTTTTTTTTTTTGCATTACGCGGGCCTCTCACTGTTGTGGCCTCTCCCGTTGTGGAGCACAGGCTCCGGACGCGCAGGCCCAGCGGCCATGGCTCATGGGCCCAGCTGCTCTGTGGCATGTGGGATCTTCCCGGACCGGGGCACGAACCCATGTCCCCTGCATCGGCAGGCGGACTCTCAACCACTGCGCTACCAGGGAAGCCCTGTAGCCTGTTTTTTAGTGAAGTAAAGTATGCAAGTCATGTTATAAATGAAATTCTATAGGACCATTAGAAATCAATAGCCCTGCCTCTTGATAGCATTCTACCTAGTCAAGAAATCAGAGGACAGATTTTTGCTGTCCTCTGAAAAAGACCTAGGGAGTGAAATTCTCCAATGTCTTCCTATAAATTCCTGCTCCTGGGTTAGGATATTCCTTTTTTGGCCTGCTACAGTTGAAGCTTTCAGGATAAAGGCTCATTTTCTGTCATACATAATCCTGTTTTTATATTGACTGATTAGGGGTTTTTCCCAGCTTATTGAGATGTAATTGATATATAACATTGTATAAGGTTAGACTGTGCAACACAATGACTTGGTATATGTATATATTGCGAAATGATCACCACAGCAAGTTTACCATCCATCACCTCACCTAGTTATAATTTTATTTCTTATGGGGAGAACTTTTAAGATCTACTCTCTTAGTAACTTTGAAATATACAGTGTACTGTTAACTATAGTCACCGTGCTGTACATTATATCCCCAGAACATATTTATCTTATAATAGGAAGTTTGTACCTTTTAACCACCTTCTCCCATTTCCCTCACCCTGCCCCCCCAGTGCCTGGCAACCATCAGTCTTTTCTGTTTCTATGAGTTTGTTTGTTTAGATTTCACATATAAGTGAGATCATACAATATTTGTCCTTCTGTGTCTGATTTACTTCATATGTTACTTCATAATGCCCTCAAGGTTTATGTATGTTTTCACAAATGTATCAGCTGATTTTATAAAATTACTTTCTGTTCTCTTTTTTCACATAATCTATTCCTATACCTTTTAACCTTATTTCACTTTTTTTAGAAAATAAATTATTTATTTTTGGCTGCGTTGGGTCTTTGTTGCTGTGCGCAGGCTTTCTGTAGTTGTGGCAAGCGGGGGCTACTCTTCATTGCAGTGCACGGGCTTCTCATTGTGGTGGCTTCTCTTGTGGCGGAACACGGGCTCTAGGCATGCAGGCTTCAGTAACTGCGGCATGTGGGCTCAGTAGTTGTGGCTTGCAGGCTCTAGAGCGCAGGCTCAGTAGTTGTGGTGCACGGGCTTAGTTGCTCCGCAGCATGTGGGATCTTCCTGGACCAGGGCTCGAACCCGTGCCCCCTACATTAGCAGGTGGATTCTTAACCACTGCGCCACCAGGGAAGTCCCTTATTTCACTTTTTAATTGTTGATTCCTTTTCTCTACTGTCTTCTACATTGCTGAACCCTAAATCTGTATCAGTACAGTAAAATACTAACATCAGTTTTTCTTTTTTTATTATAAATGTAAAACATGCCCATGGAAAGTTATTTTCAACAGTCCAAAAAGATATAAGGGAAAAGTAAATTTTTACCCTCCCATCTTCTGTTTCATTCCTCAGAAGTAACTACTTTTGACTTTAACTTCTCAATTATAAATAATATTTTTATATCTCTATTTATCAACTTCACTAACTCCTTGGTATAAAAATAAATGAGGAATTTAGCTCACTTAACCACTCCTCATTTTTTGTTAGTTATGTTTTTCTTTTTAGTTGTACTATTACTTACCTTTTAAAATTAAACAATGTACTTAAACCTCAATTTTTTGATCCATCAATTGTGGATAGTGTATCTTGACTGCCTACTATGTTAGTGAAGAAATTG